AATATTCCTAACATTCTTCTTGTGCAATTTCTTGGCTTGCAGTATTAAGAGGATTATGGGGAGGACAGAGGGAAAGAAGGCCAAGATTTCAGAAATATCCCAGAGTTTCCCAGAGCAGCTGTGGCTGCTCCTTTATCCCTGGAAATGCCCAAGGCCAGCTTGGACAGGGCTTGGAGCAGCCTGGGACAGTGGGAGGTGTCCCTGCCCGTGACATAGGATGGGATTTAAGGTCCTTTCCAACCCAAACCCACCCTGAGATTCTGTGATTCCCAAAATCAGCTGGCGTTTTAAATAAAGCGGAATTACCTGGGCCATCTTCTCCCATTTGCTGATCTCTGCTCTCCTCAGGTCCGACAGCTGGAATCCACAATCCTGTCCCTAAAGCACCAGAAGCACCAAAGCCAGGCAGGGATTGTCAAAGCCATGGAGCAGGAGAAGCTGAGCTTGAAGAGGGAGTGCGAGCAGCTGCAGAAGGAGCTGTCATCTGCCAACAGGAAGGTGAGTTTTGGATGGAAAACACACAAATCAGCCATTTCCATCTCTCACAAGCTCCAGGGATTTTGAAATACCCCTTGAAGCAGAAGCTGTGTTTGGAGTGCTGAAGGTGCCCAGGCAATGATCAGTCCCTCCCTCGAGTCTCCATTCTTCCCTAGAAGAAACTTTTTGCCAACAAAACCCCCAAATCTGTGGGCAGTGCATTAATTTACACCCATCAACTATAAAAATTAAACCAGATATTGATAGATATCAATATATTGATATCCAATTTTCAGTGCAGCTTGGGTTGGAAAGGCACAGAATTACACCAACCTCTCAGCTAAGATAACTTTCTGCCTCTGCTGTGAATTTTGTGCTCTTTGCCTCTCCCAAATCTGTGTCTGAAGGAGCTGACAGGGCTCTGTGCATCTGCTGGGAGCAATCTTCCAAATATTCCTGATTTTTAGACTTGAGTTGTCTTGGGATTCAGTGGTTCATGAGGGGAGAAAACCAGATAAAACGAGAAATTGCTGCTTTTCTAAGGAAACTCTTTGTCTCTGATAGATCAGTCAGATGAATTCTCTTGAACGTGAACTGGAAAGCAGCTCAGAAAATGAAGGGCTGAGAAAAAAGCAAGTCAAGCTGGATGATCAGTTAATGGAGGTACTTTTCAATCAGCGTTGACTTTATCACTATTTTATTGAATTTATTTTATTTTAAAACAACTTATGGATGTGTGGCAACATGGAAAACTGATTGCAACCAGAAGAATTAACCTCTCTTCTTTCATGACCAAGCATGTTTTGTTTAAATTCACATTTGGCTTCAGATGGAAAAATCAAACAGCAAAGAAAAAATTTGTTTCAGTGCTTGAGGCAAGGCTGACACTTCCCTCTTCCTTCCTAAAACATGTCTCCTCAAATTTCCTATCTGATATTTGTGTGATGCTGCTCTTAATGTAGAAGCCTGTTCTTATTTCCTCTGGGAATAATTTGCTGAATTTAAGCTTAATATTATCTAAATAGTGAAAAAAAAATAGGAATTTGCACAGTTTACTTTTAATTTAAAGGCACAAGTGAAAACTTTAGTGGAGATTCTTCCCAAAGTTCTGCTGGAGATGGATCATCAAAATTTAGGAGTCCTTGGTTTATAGGAATGGGCAATTTAATTGTGTTTAGTGCATCCCATAAGGTCAGCCCAGACCTCCAAGCTCTCTCTCAGTAGTCTTGCCTGAATTTGATGTCCTGGATTTGAGTTTAAAACATAATATTGAAAAAAAAATTTAAAAACCTACAATTTTGACTTGTTCCACAAGTCAAAGCATCTTTTAGCTGAGGCTTCTCTAACACTTGATAGATGGCTTCATGTTTTTCACCAAATGGGAGCCATGAGGCTGAAAACCCCATGTAATTAGTAATAAAACTGTAAAAACCTCATTAGGAAAGATGAGATTTTGACAAGTTAATGAAAAGACTGTTTCTATTCCTTGTGAATTTATTTATATAGTCTTAATTAAGCTTTGGGAAAATGCCAAACACTCAAAGCCATCAACAGCCAGCCTGGGGTTGTGTTTTCTCCTGAAATGTGAATTTCAGCCATGCAGGGTTTTGGTAACCTTTTGCCAGCAGGTGTGTGCAACATCCACTCAGTGATTTGTGACTTCTAACTCTCTCTTTTGTGCCTGTTCTCCTTTTTGTCCATGGCTAACCTGGCTAGAACTCAGTGGTTGGAGCTAGCAGAGAAGGGGGCAGTTCTCTCTCTGAAATAGTGTGTGAAGGTAGAGCAATCATTTCTCACGTACCCCCATAGCATGGAGAAATTCATTCTTTTAAATTCATTTCAATGAATTCTTTTTTTTTTTAATGATTTTTTTTTTCGTTTTTCTTCCATGCATCTCTTAAGAGAAGAAGCCACTCTTCATTTCAGTGTCAATTTTGGACAGTGCACAGGTTCTCTGTGGTTCATGTGTTGTGTACCCTCAGGATGTGTGAGTTCCTGAGGGGTTGCCATGAAAATGGAGAGAATTCACCCCATTTCTTCCAAAAGAATTAAAATTGGAAGTGGGAGAATGAACAGTGGCTTCCTGCTCCCCCATTTCCTGTGGGGCTTGAAGGTGTTTGCACATTTACCTCTGCATGAGACTGTCCAGTGTTTCCTCAAATTAATTCATTTCTCATCCCACCTGGCATCATCCTGATAGTTTAGCAAGCTCATGATTGTTCCATTTTCTTCCACAGGTGAATACAGCAGGGCTAGATTGTTTTCATTGTTGTTTCATTAGTAATTATGTCTAAGATGCTGTTAACACTAATTGACTGTTTCCTCATTAGTTGCTTGTGTGCTTCGCAACATGACAGGAATCCTGAAAGAAATCCCACTAAAAACTCATTATTTTCACTGTTTATATTGTCAGGAAAAGAACAGCTCCTTTACAGACAAAGAGAACCCCAAAATAGCTTTAAAATATAGAAATAATTTAATTTGAAAGCATTTATAAACCTATTTTGTGTTTACCTGGACCAGCAGAGATAGGGATGGTAACAGGGCCAGAAGAGCTGCACCGTTATGAAAAATATTTACAGTTAGAGATGAGATCAATAAGTGAAATATTATCTATCCAAATTGATCATTTTGCCAGCTGTGAAAGGGAATTAAAATCAGCTGTGAAAGGGAATTAAAATCAGCTGTGAAAGGGAATTAAAATCAGCTGTGAAAGGGAATAAAAATCAGCTGTGAAAGGAAAACTAAAATCAGCTGTGAAAGGAAATCTAAAATCACCAAGATAATCTTATACACCTTTTCCTAAGGGAACAGAGCAATGGTTTTAAGGTAACAGGGCCTTTATGGTCTCGGGTTTTTTCTTTCTTTACGGGAAGAAATTATTAATTCTACACAAATCCCAGCTGCAAATGAGTTTGTCTGAACCATCAGGGATTTTTACTGTCCACTTCTGGTCCTTTTTAGTGTAATTAACTCCTCCAGCTGTGAGTTATTTACCTGGGTTTTGCTTTAGTCTGGAAAAATTCTAAATTATTTCACCTGACTGTCTTAGCTCTTAATATCTCCACAGTTAGGAGAAAACATTAGGAAATATCTACAGGGTGTTACATACTGAATTTTGAAGGTAATAGCAGAGATAAATGTTCCTTAAAGACTAGAAATAATCAGAACAATTTCAGCCTTCCCCTTGAAATGGAAAATTATTGGTACTTGAAGCTCACCAACTAAATTTGGATAGGAATTCATCCAAAATTCAGTGATTTTATAATTCAGGCCTGAAATGATGAATCAAAGCCCAGCTTCCTTTGTGTGAAATTCCATCTTTTGTCACCTCTGTCACCAAGTCCAGCCTTGTTTCCCTTGGGCATGAAAAATCTGAGATCAGGCTGCTCCTGGAGCAGCCCTGGCAGAGGGAGCAGGGGCTGATTTTGGGATTTTTGGGTTTTGCAGATGTTCCTGGTGCTGATGTTGGGATTTGGGGTTTTGCAGATGTTCCTGGGGCAGCCCTGGTACATGATTTTGGGATTTCGGGTTTTGCAGAAACTCTGGAGCAGCCAGGAGCAGGTGCTGATTTTTGGATTTGGGGTTTTGCAGATGCTCCTGGTGCTGATGTTGGGGTTTTGGGGTTTTGCAGATGCCTTGGCAAGAGGGAGCAGTGCTGATTTTGGGATTCAGGATTTTGCAGATGCTCCTGGTGCTGATTTTGGATTTTGGGGTTTTGCAGACGCTCTGGGGCAGAGGGAGCAGTGCTGATTTTGGGGTTCAGGATTCTGCAGATGGGGCAGAGGGAACAGTGCTGATTTTTGGATTTTGGGGTTTTGCAGACGCCCTGGGGCACAGGGAGCAGTGCTGATTCTGGGATTTAGGGTTTTGCAGATGCCCTGGCAGAGGCAGCAGGTGCTGATTTTTGGGGTTTTGGGTTTTGCAGATGCTCTGGAGCAGAGGGAGCAGTGCTGATTTTGGGATTCAGGATTTTGCAGATGCTCCTGGTGCTGATTTTGGGATTTGGGGGGTTTGCAGATGCTCTGGGGCAGAGGGAGCAGGGGCTGATTTTGGGATTTGGGGTTTTGCAGGTGCCCTGGCAGAGGCAGCAGGTGCTGATTTTGGGGTTCAGGATTTTGCAGATGCTCCTGGTGCTGATGTTGGGATTTGGAGTTTTCCTGATGTTCTGGAGCAGGTGCTAATGGTGGGATTTGGGGTTTTCCAGATGCTCTAGAGCAGTCCTGGTACCTGATTTTGGGATTTGGGGTTTTGCAGATGCCCTGGGGCAGAGGGAGCAGTGCTGATTTTGGGATTCAGGATTTTTCAGATGCTCCTGGTGCTCATTTTGGGATTTTGCAGACGCTCTGGGGCACAGGGAGCAGTGCTGATTTTGGGGTTCAGGATTTTGCAGATGAGGCAGAGGGAGCAGTGCTGATTTCGGGGTTTTGGGGTTTTGCCGATGCTCCTGGTGCTGATTTTGGGATTCAGGATTTTGCAGATGCCCTGGCAGAGGGAGCAGTGCTGATTTTGGGGTTTTGCAGATGCTCTGGGGCAGAGGGAGCAGTGCTGATTTTGGGATTCAGGATTTTGCAGATGCTCCTGGTGCTGATTTTGGGATTTTGGGGTTTTGCAGATGCTCCTGGTGCTGATGTTGGGGTTTTGGGGTTTTGCAGATGCTCTGGGGCAGAGGGAGCAGTGCTGATTTTGGGATTCAGGATTTTTTGGGGTTCAGGATTTCGCAGATGCCCTGGGGCAGAGGGAGCAGTGCTGATTTTGGGGTTTTGCAGATGCCCTGGGGCAGAGGGAGCAGGTGCTGATTTTGGGATTTTTGGGTTTTGCAGATGCTCCTGGTGCTGATTTTGGGATTTGGGGGGTTTGCAGATTCTGTGGGGCAGAGGGAGCAGTGCTGATTTTGGGGTTCAGGATTTTGCAGACGCTCTGGGGCAGAGGGAGCAGTGCTGATGTTTGGATTTGGGGTTTTCCAGATGCTCTAGAGCAGTCCTGGTACCTGATTTTGGGGTTTTGGGGTTTTGCAGATGCTCCTGGTGCTGATTTTGGGGTTTGGGATTTTGCAGATGCCCTGGCAGAGGGAGCAGTGCTGATTTTGGGATTCAAGGTTTTGCAGACGCTCTGGGGCACAGGGAGCAGTGCTGATTTTGGGATTCAGGATTTTGCAGATGCTCTTGGTGCTGATTTTGGGGTTCAGGATTTTGCAGATGCTCCTGGTGCTGATTTTGGGATCTGGGGGTTTTGCAGACGCTCTGGGGCAGAGGGAGCAGTGCTAATTTTGGGGTTTTGCAGACGCTCTGGGGCACAGGGAGCAGTGCTGATTTTGGGATTCAGGATTTTGCAGATGCTCCTGGTGCTGATTTTGGGATTTGGGGGGTTTGCAGATCCTCTGGGGCAGAGGGAGCAGTGCTGATTTTGGGGTTTTGCAGATGCTCTGGGGCAGAGGGAGCAGTGCTGATTTTGGGGTTTTGCAGATGCTCCTGGTGCTGATTTTGGGATTTGGGGGGTTTGCAGACGCTCTGGGGCACAGGGAGCAGTGCTGATTTTGGGATTCAGGATTTTGCACATGCCCTGGGGCAGAGGGAGCAGTGCTGAGTTTTGGATTTGGGGGTTTTGCAGATGCTCCTGGTGCTGATTTTGGGATTTGGGGGGTTTGCAGATGCTCTGGAGCAGAGGGAGCAGTGCTGATTTTTGGATTTGGGGTTTTGCAGATGCCCTGGGGCAGAGGGAGCAGTGCTTATTTTGGGGTTCAGGATTTTGTAGATGAGGCAGAGGGAGCAGTGCTGATTTTTGGGGTTTTGGGTTTTGCAGGATCCTCTGGGGCAGAGGGAGCAGTGCTGATTTTGGGATTTGGGATTTTGCAGATGCTCTGGAGCAGAGGGAGCAGTGCTGAGTTTTGGATTTGGGGGTTTTGCAGATGCTCCTGGTGCTGATGTTGGGGTTTTGGGATTTTGCAGATGCCCTGGGGCAGAGGGAGCAGGTGCTGATTTTGGGGTTTTGCAGATGCTTTGGAGCAGCCCTGGCAGAGGGAGCAGGCGCTGATGTTGGGAGTTTTGGGTTTTGCAGATGCTCCTGGTGCCGATTTTGGGGTTTTGGGGTTTTGCAGATGCTCTGGGGCAGAGGGAGCAGTGCTGATTTTGGGGTTTTGGGGTTTTGCAGATGCTCCTGGTGCTGATTTTGGGGTTTTGGGGTTTTGCAGACGCTCTGGGGCAGAGGGAGCAGTGCTGATGTTGGCGTTCAGGATTTTGCAGATGCCCTGGCAGAGGGAACAGTGCTGGTTTTGGGGTTTTGCAGATGCCCTGGGGCAGAGGGAGCAGTGCTGATTTTGGGGTTCAGGATTTTGCAGATGCTCCTGGTGCTGATTTTGGGATTTGGGGGGGTTTGCAGATGCTCTGGGGCACAGGGAGCAGTGCTGATTTTGGGATTTCGGGATTTTGCAGATGCCCTGGGGCAGAGGGAGCAGTGCTGATTTTGGGGTTTTGCAGATGCCCTGGGGCAGAGGGAGCAGTGCTGATTTTGGGATTCAGGATTTTGCAGATGGGGCAGAGGGAGCAGTGCTGATTTTGGGATTTCGGGGTTTTGCAGAAGCTGCAGGCCAGGGGGATGCATAGCCAGGGCTCCCCACAGCACGGCTGTGCCTCGGTGCCCCGGGAGCAGCTCCTGCAGCTGCAGCTGCTGCAGGCCGAGAGGAGGAGCCAGCACCTGCAGGAAGAGCTCCAGCGCAGAGCCCCAGGGACAGACACGCAGCAGGTAAGGCCCTCCCACCTGAAAGTCACCATTTTTAAAGGATTTGGTTTGGTTCTCTTGGGGTTTTTTTGGGTTTTTGTTTTTTCTTTATCCTGGTGTGATCCTTTCTCTGTTTATGCCAGTTGAAAAGTGAGATTTCATGGCAGCAAGGATGTGTGTAAAAATGCTGTTTCAGCCAGAGCTTTGTTCTGAATTCCTCTTAATTTTTTTTTTTTGATATCAAACCACTCCCATCCACATTTAACTGGTTTTTCTCCTTCTGCTCCATGTGCAGTGAGTGTTTATAGAGGCTTTTTTTGTTGTTTCTTTACCTCATGACCCTGTCTAGAACTATGAATTTTAAAATATACCACAGCAAATATTGCACAGGCGCCCATCACGTCAAACCCGAATTTGGGCTGCTGCTGTCACAGGGAATTGTGTCAGCTGTGGCAGAGCAGAACACAAATTAATCCTATTAATCCTTTTTTCTGAGGTTTTTCCTAATCCTTTTTCTTCCTGATTTGGCCATCAGACAAGACACTGTTACTGCTGTACAGAAACTTCAACTTTTCTGAGGGAAAACCAATTCCAAGGCAGATTAATTCATCCACTCACTTTTAGGGTTTACTTTTTACCTTATAAAACTGAATTTAGGCAATAAAAAGTTTGCATCTGCCATAAAAAATTTCCAAATTATCCTTTTCTTCAAATTAATTGGATGTCTAAGTGTCTAAAGCTTTGGCTGAGGCCAAATAATGTCTTAAAATAATATTACAGCTTTACCTTATAAGAAAGATAAGGTAAAGTTTAAGTAACCTAAATTTATATTTAATATTTTATCTGGTTTAGATTAGATATTTATTTAGATTTACACATAGTAACCTAAATTTCTATTTAGTATTTTATCTATTTTATATTAGATATTTATTTAGATTTACACGTAGACAAATAAATTAGATAAAATGCTATTAGCTATTTATTCATCTGGTAGCAGGGAAAAAAGACCCCGCTTGTATTTTAAATTTAGCTTGCAGTTACGCTTTAAAAAAAAACAAACAAAAAAAATAATAACAATAATAACAATAAAATTATTACTGTTGTTGTTATTATTAATGTTACTATTGTTGTTGTTATTATTATATATTATTATTGTTATATAACAATATTATATAACAATATATTATAACAATACATTATAACAATATATTATATATATTATTATTGTTATATAACAATAATAACAATAATAACAATAATAATAATAATAAAATTATTACTGTTGTTGTTATTATTAATGTTACTATTATTGTTATTATTATATTATTATTGTTATATAACAATAATAACAATAATAATAATAATAATAAAATTATTACTGTTGTTGTTATTATTAATGTTATTATTGTTATTATTATTATTATTATTATATAACAATAATAACAATAAAATTATTACTGTTGTTGTTATTATTAATGTTATTGTTGTTGTTATTATTATTATTATTATTATTGTTATTGTTATTATTATTATTATTGCCACTAAGACTTTGAAGCTCAAATATCTCTGAATGTGGGAATAAATATTCCAGAAAAAAAGGTATTACAGATGGAGTATAGGCAGTAACCAGTTTTTAAAGTATCCAAAACTTGGAGTAATTTTTTTTTTTTTTTTAAGAAACATGTAAAATCAAAATGTTTCATTAAAAAATAAAAGCAAATCATTTCAGGTTAAGTAGAAATAAATTGATTTTCAGGTTCCTTTCCAGAAGTGCATCACCACAGGCTGATGTACTTTGTTCCCATACCGTGGGGAGCAAAATGTGCAGCTGAATTTCAAAATCAATCCGAGCCACATTGCAGCAGGGGCAAATGGAAAGTGCTGGGATTGCACTGGGAGTGATGAGTTTGTAATTTAGATTTTGGAACAGTCTGGAACTTGCAGTTCTAGAGATGAATTGCTCCTGCATTTCCTGGAAAAGCTTTGGGAATTTAAAAATACTTAGGCTTTTCAAATATGTGCTGTCAATGCACTAATGCACTTAATCCTTTTAATTTTTTTCCTTAAAATAAGTGAATATTCTGCTTTATAACACTCTTTTTTTTTTGCTACAGAACTTTGTAAACCATTATTAAAAACATACACTTGTAGACAAAGCCAGATTTATTTGTTTTTCTCCGCTTTGTGAGCACCCCCTGCTTGAGTCTCTGTTGATTTTTCTTTGCCATCCTGATTTTTTGGGTTTATCATTTGAGCTCATGTCCCTTTTAATGTCCCCTTCAGCACCCTGAAAACTTCCCTGCTAATCCCTCTCCATCATCCTTTCACCAGTGAGTACAAGGTCAGCTTGTCTCCATGTGTAAAATAAATCATATTTATAAATCATTTAGTTCTGCTGCTTTGCTTTTTGCAGCTTTTTAGATGGTACCCAAAGTTTTCCCCCCCTTTTTTTTTAATTTTGTGTTTATCCTGCTTTGCAGTTTTCATTGCTTTGTGCTCCTGGTTGTCTGTGGCTTTTCATTTATTTTGCAGTCAGTCCTGAGTTATTCTCACCCAAAAGCTGCTGTTACATGTTTAAATTTCACTAAATTAAATGAAATTATAACAGCTGTTTGTACTGTGTTAACCTGTCTGGATTTTCCTGAATTCCCATTTTTTTTGTGCTGTGCCAGTGCTGTGATTACCTCATATCCCTTTCTTAATAAATAAATAAATTTGGGAGCCTGTTAATTACCCAGTGCTTCCCAAAGCTTGCCTAGCACTGATTAATATTTGTACAGCTCTTTATTTCAAATTCCATCTCACTCCGAGGGAAAAACAACAAAGTTTGAGATAGAAATGCAAAGTTTTCAAAGGAGAAGCCAGTTTGGCTGCATTTTCCCCAAATACTTGGCAATCTGAGATTTTA